GATTTGTTCAATTAGCTTAGTAGAGATCTAGTAGAGTGATGTGTGAATGGGAAAATGAGGCACAGGCTGTAGTGTAAAGCACTTTGAGTATCTGGATAAGATAGAAAAGCACTATATAAGTGCAGTCTATTTACTATTTACACACCCTATTGTATCTTTTGTTTATGGAAGACAAGAACAGTTTTAAAGTGATGAGGATTCTTAATGTAACAAACAATATGTAGGCTAATAGATATTACATATTATATTAATTCAACCTTTATTTATACACGTTAGTCTCATTGAGTCACGAGGACTCATTTACAAGAGAGACCTGTTTTAAACAAAAAAAAAAGCATATGATATACAAAAAACAATAAAACAAGCATATAAAAGCATATACAATGAAAATAAAATAAAATAAGTCATATAAAAAAATTAAAAACTGCTATATTATAAAACGGTGTAAAATACTAAAAACAGGAAAGTGTTTGCATTGAACTTAATTGTTTAAAATCCCTTAGAGAGGTCAAAGTCGACAGTTTCGGGTCTTTTTGCAAGATGTTCCAAGAAACAGGAGCAGAGTAAGAGAAGGGCCTTTTGCCAGATTTGGTCTGCACTGAGGGTACGCAGCAGGTAATAATGTCTTGAGAGCGCACGCTGTAGCTGCACTGACAAAGTGACATGTGGGAGGAGATATATGAAGGCAGCAGACCAAGAAGTGATTTAAAGATGAAAATGTATCAGTGTGAGAGTCTGCGTGACATTAATGATGTCCAGTTAACCAGTGAATACAGGGTGCAGTGGTGAGTACGATAGTTACAGACAGTTATGCATCTTAGCGCACCGTGCTAGACAGCATCCAACATCTGCAGGGTGCTAGCAGGAACATTCATGTAAATAATGTCACCATAGTCAATGGGCAGAAGGAAAGTCACAGTTACTGTACAAGGCATTTTCTAGCGTTCAGAGTAAGACAAGATCTATTTAACTTTCTATTCTTTACCAAGTTTTTGACATGTGGTTTAAAAGAGACATGTGCATTGACCAAGATTCCCAAGTAAATGTAAGAGTTGACAAACAATAGGAACACCATTCATAGATAAGATAGAAGGAAAGACTGCTGATACCAACTTCCAGTTGGAAAACAAAATCCATTTGGTTTTTATCAGTATTTAGCAACAGTTTGAGATGGAAAAAATATGACTAGATGATGTCAAAAGCAGACTGTAAAAGTTAGAAAACCTTCCTTAGCAACTGCTTTAGCACGACGTCAGCATAGAAATGTAAAGATGCATCAGGAATGATCTTACCTACATTACTTACGTAGATTGTGAAAAGGGTGGGTCCTAAGACTGAGTCTTGTGGTACACCATTGTTGACCGTTAAACAAGTAAAAGAAGTACCAATAGTTTAATATAGCTAATAGCTAAGAT